CCCATCTCAAAATTTTGTTTAGTTTTTGTTTTTTTTTTTAATGTGGTGCTGGGGATCCAACCCAGTACTTCATGCATGCTAGGCAAGTGCTCTACCACTGAGCTACAACAGCAGCCTGGGTCTCAAAATTTTTTTAAAAAAATCGTAAAAAGGACTGAGGATGTAACTCACTGGCAAACACTAGGTTCAATCCTCAGTGCCTAAATAAATAAATAAATGGCATTGGTATGTTAAAGAGCTAACACCAGATATCTAGTAGAGATTAAACCCAGAGCTTAGCACATGCTAGGCAAGTTCTCCTACCACTAAGCATGTATATTTCCAACCTAAATGTACATTCTTTTGACATTTTTTTTTGTACTAGGGATTTAACCCAGGGGGCGCTAAACCAGAGCCACATCCCCAGGCCTTTTATTTTTTATTTTGAGATAGGGTCTCACTAAGATAATCAGGAATACCCTAATTTGCTGAGGCTGGTTTTGAACTTGTAAATCTCCTGCTTCAACTTCCCGAGTTGCTGGGATTACAGGCATGTGCCACCACACCTGGCCTTTTGCCAGTCTTTTGAGGTGGGCCTTTTGAGTTGTAAGTCCAGTGATGGTAGTTTTACAAAGTACACTTATAATACATAATCTATAATTTCCAGTTTCAATATCTTTAAAGAGTAAAGTGAGAACTTAAAAAATTCTTATTAAAGTTATAAATGAAAGTCTTTCATATTAAAAAAGAGAATTATAAGTGCAGAGGGTATGTGGCTCAGGACAGAGCACATATTAAAAGGCCCTGGATTCAATCCTTCCCATCAAAAAACATAAACACACACACAGTGTGTGTATATATGTCACCTTTCTATGGCAGTTAACTCAGTTTCATAAAATACATCTTTTTTATTTTTTTGTTCCAGGAACTGAACCTATGGATGCTTAGCCAATGAGACACAGCCACAGCCCTTTTTTATATTTTATTAGAGATAATGTCTTGCTGAGTTGCTTAGGGCCTTGATAAGTTGGTAAGGCTGGCTTTGAACTAGGGATCCCCCAGCCTCAGCTTCCTAAGCCGCTGAGATTATGGGTGTGCGCCACCATGCCCGGCTCAAAAAATAAACCTTTCATTTCACTATCATATTTATTGGTTTATGCAACTCTAAAGCTATGTAATTACAATACAAATCCAGGGTGTAATAAAATGATCCTTGGCAAGTCTATATTTCCTCTAGTGGCAGCAATGCAGTGGACAACAAGCAGTACAGCTTATAAGAAGAGGATGGAGAATGTGCTAAATTGCTTAAAATACAAATTTGTTAACCAATATTATAAGTTCAAGGCCAGACTCAGCAATTGAGCAAGACCCTATCTCAAATAAAAATTAAATTTAAAAAGGCTGTGGATGTAGCTCAGGTTTAAAACCCCTGAGTATTATTCCCTGTCCCTTAAAAGAAAATAAATAAATAAAAAGGATTGGGAATGTAGCTCTATGGTAGAGCTCCCCTGGGCTCAATCTCTAGTACCCACCTCCACCCCACACACTAAATTTACTTCTTATTGTTTCTGCTCTTCCTGGGACAGTACTGGGCACATAGCAAGTTCTACAACTATTTGTTCAATGAAGTATGGTTAACAGTACATGCAAGGTTGGGATTCCATTTCCTTCAGTCTTCAAAATCACAGAGACTACCTATACTTAAATTTCCAAAAGGGAACAGAGTAAGGAATATAAACTGTAACAGGTCCTGATAGAAAACGTATGAATACAAAATGTAGACAGTTTCACATTACCAAAAGTGGATAATCCAGTGCTTAAAAGATGGTATCTTATAAAAGAACTAGAATAGCTCAAATATCAGGTCAATAAGAAATAATCTTATCATGTCAAAACTAAGAGGGGCAGGTCAGGTGGGGTGGTGCATGCCTATAATCCCAGCGGCTCAGGAGGCTGAGGCAGGAGGATCAAGAGTTCAAAGCCAGTCTTAGAAAGGCACAAGGCAACTGAGTGAGACCCTCCCTATCTCTAAATAAAATACAAAATAGGGCTGGGCATGTGGCTTAGTGGTTGAGTGCCCCTTAGTTCAATCCCCAGTACGGGGGGTGGGGGGGGGGGGGGGGGGGAGACGGACACTAAGAGGAGCAGGTATACTAGGGCATGCCTGTAATCCCAGCAACTCAAGAAGCTGGGGCAGGAGGATTACAAGTTCATAGCCAGCCTGGGCAATTCAGGGAGACCCTGTCTAAAAATTAAAAAACAAAAAGACTAGAGATGTAGCTCAATGGTAGAGTACCCCTGGGCTCAATCCCTGGTACTGCCAAAAAAACAAACAGGATGGTTTCTGGTTTTCCTAAAAAGTGGCAGGTAGAGAAGGAAAACAAGCTGCCATAGATGTCTCAGTGCGTATTAGGCTTCTTTCCCATCCTCAACCACGAACAACAGAAAATATCAATATTTTAAACAAAAACCAAAGACCCAAACAAATGAACTTTTGGTTTACCAGTTATTATGAAATAAATATGTAAATATAGAAATTAAAGGCATACAGATGTACTATATAAGAAAATAAAAACCTGCAAATAAAAAACCTAAATATAAATAATAAGTATCTTAAATATAAATAAATGTGGTGGTTTGGCCATTTCATTTTAGCCTAAGTTTTGTGAAGTATTTCTAAGTTAAAAAACTTGGAGCATTATGACAGAAGATCTATAACAACTAGGAAGTTCAAAGACTGCAGCTACTTATAAAACTCTTGCCCTTGTCCACTAGAAAAGAATCCACAGTGGCACTGCCTTTCTTCCTTCTAAGTACTGAAAATGTTATGAATAGTTAGGAGAAACTTAAGAGATAGCCTGTGAGGCTGCACCAGTCCCACTAGATGGCACTATCACAGGCAAGTCACTCTGCTCTCCCATTTGAAAGAGCAAAGGCTGAAATCTCTTGTTGATCTTAGCAAAACTGAAAGCTCCCCAGTACCAAAAAAGCAAAAAACAAAAAAACAAACAAAAAACACTAAATAAAACTGAAACTGTCATCTATAGTGATATCCTTATTGGGAAACTATGATTCGGAACAATAAATTCAAACCCAAGAGTTTCTCCAAAAGCATCCTTTTTACCCAGTCCTTTTTACTTCCCCTCTCCATTTCTAATCAATGGTCTGATAAATATGTCTCATAGGCAACAAAATTCATATAAAATGGATATTTTCTTTACCTCTTCCTAACTCTGGAAAACAATACTCTCCTACTAGTCTTTGAATAACATTTATTGTGATAAATACACTATGACTTGAACATCAAAATAACATACAATTAATAGAATAAAAACAACAGGACTTAGAGGAACTTCTCTCTCCACAGAGAACATCTTTCTCTTTAGGTTAAAGGTATAACTTCTTATTAAGCAGGATACTGCTTTCAAGTCTTCTGACCCCTTAGTTCCATGATTCTAAATTGGGTTGAAGCAGCAAATTCAGAATACCCTCATTTCCGTTACTTATGCCCCACTCCATCAAAAGTATTCTTGGATATAGCCATTAGGAGTCTAAAAGCAGAAAGAAAGAAAAACATCCTAACAAAAACCAATGAGTTTAAACTGCATACAACTCGAACACCAACTTTCTAATTTACTCAATAGGGAACCAACTGAATATATAGATTTGGATGTAAGCCTTATGCCAAATTCCCATGTTAAAAGACACATCAAAAGTCATCGTAATCAACTGAACCATGGATCAATTTAATATCCAAATACACTGCTCATTTCTATCTGAAGCTACTTCACCTAGGTCAGAGAATTTATGTCTATCCATATGAAATTCAAAACACAATGCTCAAGAGTAGCCACTCCAAAGTGCCACCAAAAGTCAGTTATTTAATTAAAGTGGCAAAGAAACCAAAAATGTGTAACAAATCCTGGGTTCCTAAGCACCTTGTCACAGCTCTAATGCAGCTCTCATCAAAATATCATCTCTCCTCACTGACTGGCGTTCTCTCTTTGCACAACGCCTAGAATACTATAGGCACTCAATAACTACTGAATAAACAAAAACTATAAGTTTATCCCAGAGCTCACCAAAATTGTGTGATCCATCAAAGAAGTTATGTTTTCCAACTATAAACCTTAACATTCACTTCCCTGAAGAAGCAACTAACCAAAGCATGAAACCTAGGTTACCATGAGATAAAACTTCTTGAAAAACACAGAAAGAAATGTATCATATTGGTTAAAGATCAAAAATTCACATATTCACGTATCTCAAGCCCAAATAATCTAACAATCATGGGTCAGTGAAGTTTTTAAATAAAGCATCATACATACATACACATACATACACACACACACACACACACACTCTCTCTCTCTCTCTTTATATATTGCACTAAAATCATCCCATGGGAACAGAGGGGCGAACTGGCAAGTACATAAGGATATGCAGGCAGCCATAGCACTGTTTGACATCTCACCTGCCCATTAATGGGGCCTTGAACTTATTTTACACTCCCACAACAAAAACAAAAACAATGAAAAGGAAGGAAAATAAGAGGAGAGAGAAAACGGTCTGGGGTGCAACCAGGAGGAATCAGCTAAGCTGCAGAACTGAACTGAAAGATTTCACAGAGTAAGATTCTTCAATGCTATATCATATAACTACCCAGTAAAATCAGTGTAATAAAACTAGGCAAAGCCTTGTAATTATTTTTTTTTCTGAGTAGCTGAGAATTTTTAACAAAATATGGCATAAATTCTAGATACACATTCTATCGGTATCCTTTTAACAAACCCTTCAAGAAACTTCCCCTGTATTTGAAGGGGGAAAGAAGCATATACTCCCATATAGAACACCTTCAAATACGCTACTGGAAAGACTGGCAGGATTTAAAAGTTCAATGGAATCATGAGACAAATTTTCCCTGCACCCATCAGTATGTTTCACCCAAACTGCTCTTAATCATTTTTTAAATGTGTTTACATTAGACTACCAATAGTGTTCATCATCGTCATTTTACTCACCTTACTAACACCAACTCCAGTAAACCTGGCCTCTAATAATTCCTGCCGTCGTGGGTCCAGGCTATGCAATTCTTCCATCATTTCTACTGAAAAAGAAAAAGTAGACTGTAAAAACCATGAAAACTAAAATGTGAGGAACAAGTTTTATTACAACAAAACTCAGAGCAGTTATTTCATTGAGTAGCGACATACGGTAACCCTCAAAATAAAAAATAGAGCATAATAGTAGTTAACTATAATGCACTGCACCAAATAATTATTTGACATTACCAATATATTCAAAGTTCTATAGCAGCTTGGAAGTCCTTGTCTAGGGGGGCAACTTACTCTTATCCCAAAAAAGAAAAACTACAAACCATTCATACAACATCTGTAAAAGTAGTAGAGGAAGAAAAAAAAAAACATGGATGAGCGGGGGTGGTGGCACACACCTGTAATCCCAACAACTTGGGAGGCTTGCAAGTTCAAAGGAGGATTGCAAGTTCAAAGCCAGCCTCAGCAAAAGCGAGGCGCAAGGCAACTCAGTGAGACCCTGCCTCTAAATAAAATCCAAAATAGGGCTGGGGATGTGGCTCAGTGGTTGAGTGCCCAAGTTCAATCCCCAGGACCAAAAACAAAACCAACAACAATAAAACATGGATGAGCTTGCAAAAAGAAATTTACTTCTAACAACCTTTGTATCTTTGAATTCTAGCTAAGTATTTTCAGATATTTCTTTCCCAAACACACAGGAACTAGTTCTTAAACTAAAAATATGAATCATTAATAATTTCAAAATATGGCATGAATCAGAAGCTACAAATTACTTCAAATAACACTATTATGTAGCTCCTTTCTCTGAAGAGCTCACAGTACCTCATGAAAAAAATGAATTATTTTATTTTAAATTTAATAGACAACTAAGGTAAAATCCTCAACTTGCATTCACTCAGGAAATTAATATAGCTCCGTAACAATTTCTTAAAAAAATGTTTTTCGGACCACTCCCTGAAGCAGTGGGTTTTTCTTCACTCTGGACATCTGCTTTTAGCACTCCTTCCAAGCAGGGAGGGGCGGGAGGGCACCATTTTTAAACTCCTTCCTTGACCAATTAATGCACAGGCTCCTTTGAACAAATGTGTCCATCCTTTGCAAGAGATCAACTCTTACACGATGCACCGAAAATCTTTAACATTAAAAGTGGGAAAGGAGTATGTTATCACTACACGGAACCCCTTCAAACACACTATTAAGCTGTTATTAGAATGACTGGTGTGATTTTAAAGTTCACAGAAAACATGAATCAAATATTCCCTTCTGCAATCTAACAACTCCACAATTTCCAGTAACAGCCCTACAAAGTCCTTCAGTTTCGTTTCCCTTCCTGGATTGAGAGCATGGGGCAAAGGGGAATGAAAGGGTGACAAGTTAAAGTTTCACCCACACCTAAAAGTGCAGGTTAAAAAAGGAATTAGGAAATTCTCAGAAGGGTAGAAAATCATCTTTTTTAAAAAAGAAAGACGGAGATTGAACGAGTTTTCCCTAAGTAGGTAAGTGCCCTTCCCAGCGTCTCGCTCGGCCCTAATTGGGTCGGAATCGCAGAGGTTGCAGTCTCTCCCCAACCCCAAGGTCTCTCGCAACATTTCCCAAATCTTCATCCCCAGGCCTGGCCCAGAAAATGACGCCCCAGCGGTTATTCCATTTAATGTCAACTCATGTTAAGGAAATATCCACTCCGACTCATTCCATCGCGGCTTTGGACAGGGATCCTCCCTGCAGCCCACAGCCGCGAAGCAAAACCGATGGGGCCTGGTCCCGGCGCCCCTCACTGGCTCCAAACTTTCCCCAACTCCAAGCCCACCTGTCACGGAGGGAGGGAGGGCCAGCTCTCGGGGGCGCCCGGGAGACTGCCGAGGCCTCCAGCTGCCGAGGCGCCCCCTCTCTCCGCCGGCCGCTGGCCCCACTCCCAGGCCTGGGCCTGCCCCATCTTCGGCCCGGCCCCTCGGCGACCCGCAGCCCTTGGGGAGTCCCTCCCGCCTCAGCGCCGAGGAGATACGGCCCGGCGCCGGTCCCGGGCTGGGCCCGGGTCGCAGCCTCCTCAGGCCGAGGGGGTCTCCGGGACGGTTAATGCCCCAGGCCCAGCGCCCTCCCCCGCCCGGGGTTCAGCCTCTCACCTGCCGCTGCCGCTGCCGCCGCCGCTCCACGCTTCTCCCGGGAGGGGCCCCGACCCGACCCGGCTGCGGCCGCTCCGCTTTCCCCCTGGGCAGGCCCGGGGCGGAGCCGGGGCCTCTCCTAAGCGCCTCAACCCCCCGCCCGGGCAGCCGCCGCCGGCGTCCGGCTCCACGAGAGGGCGGGCGGGGGAGGGGGTCGCGGAGGCCGCAGATCCCCGGGCTCGCGTACAGAGCTAGGCGCCTGACGCGGCCCCGGGCCCGGGCGGCCGCGGGGGGCGCGGGACCGGCCTCCTGGCGCCGGACAAAGGCCAAGGGAGGCGCAGGAGGGCCCAGGCCCGGCCGGGAGGTGGGGGTCCTCTCGGCTGGGGGCCACTCGGGTGCGGCGCGGAGGGCGGGGCGGTCGGAACCGCTGGTGCCCAGGGCCCGCCTCCGGCCCCTTAATCCGGATCGGTTCGGTCCGGATTAGTAGTGATCGGTGTAAACACACTAGTGAAAGCGCGTGTTTCCTCGCGAGATTTGCACGGCCGGGAGGCAGGGGGGGGTCCTGGGGGGGTTGGGGAAGCGCCGACAGTGGGGGAGGAGGAGGAGGAGGGAACGAGGAAGGTGGGGGGGTCCTCGCTGCCCCGGCGCCCCGCCTCCTCCAATCAGCTGCCGGGCTGGCGGGCAGGGGTTAACCAGGGGACCCCGCGCCGGCGAAGGAGGCCGCGCCTGGCCGGACGACTGAGGGCGGGCGACGGGCGGCGCCGGCAAAGCGGCCGCGACGCGAGGGGCGGTCGGGCGGCCCGGGTCGCCCTGCGTCCCGCCGGCCCGAGTCCGGGTCCCAGGGCCCCCACCGCCGTCTTTGTGTAACCGGCTCCAGGGGCGCTGAAGGGACCTCGCTGTCGGGCTGGGCCAGCGCCCGCTTAATCCTTGATCTGCACAAGTTTGGATGCGAAGTGAGGTTGCTCTGCCCAGGGATGAATTTGAGAGGAAGAAAACCCTTGAGCCGGCGGACCCAAACCGGACTTCCAGGAGACACCCGGCTAGTGAGTTCGCTGTGCCCAACGTGTTCCCGTGCTCGCTGGCCCGCCACTCTCCAAAACCATGGTCCCTCTTCCAGACCCCAGCCGTACGCCCCGGAAAGCGGGCCGCACTTGCCTTCCACATACCTGGTGGGCAAGGCGTCTCCAGGGACAAAAGGTGCTCTGGGATCGGAGAGGAGCCCCACCAGGATGCTGCCCTCCAGAGGCAGGCCACTGCCCCCAGGGGACACTCCCCGGCACCCAGGGGAAGGTTCTATTTCAACCTCGGATTAAAAACAAGGCCCTCCGGGTACTTGGGGAGGGGGCTCCGATAGTGCTAGGATGGAAAAACAGTGTCTCCTGAGGAATGAGGTAGGGTGAGTTTTTGTGCCCAAGGTGGGCTTCCTGCATGGAAAAGGGTTCCCTCTCTGACCCTCAGCACCAAAGAAAAAAACTACACTTTCTTCATTGATTTCCATGAATCAAAACACTGACTTCAGTGCGGCTACCCAACATTTTTTCTGTTGCTTCTTTGACCAGATGACTGAAGGACTACCAACAAATCACAAGGGGAAAGTTCAGACCTTGAACTTTTCCAGGGCTAGGCAAGTACTCCAAGTGTAGTTTCTGCGCTTAATTCTTTCTTACTCCTAATTCTTCCGTAAATTAAGAGGAAACAGACTTGAGAAATGGGGAAAGAAAGGCAGTTTTACTTTTTGTTAGTTCTCCAACCTTCCAAAATCTTGGGGCAAACTCAAGCCCTATGGAAAAACTCAAACCAGGAATCATTTTCCTTATTGTCCCAGACTACTTGGAAAGTTATATACACATATTTCTGATAACTCTTTGAAAGGCAGAAGGAGAATATCAGCTGCAGAGGTTGGGGAAAAGGGCAAGGTGGAGAATTGAGTACAAGCTCCGCCTGATAGAGCAGGAGAAGCAAAGAGGGATAATGTGGGCCTGCTTCCCACTGCAGCACCAAAGGAAAGCAAATGAGGCAAGCTCTTGCATTACAGCCAATGATCAAGAAGGTAACTCCTTAAAATTACACTGTCGTAAATTAGAAAAGAACATAAAAGAATACAGCTTGGCACAGTGGCACTTGCCTGTAATCCCTGCTACTTGGGATGCTGAGTCAGGAGGATTACAAATTGGAGGCTGTCTAAGCACTTCAGCAAGACTCTGCCTCAAAAATAAGATAAAAAATAAAGGTCTGGGTATGTAGCTCAGTGGGAGAGGGCTTGCCTAGCCTGTACAAGGCCCTGGTTTCAATCCCCAGCACTGCGATTAAAAAAAAAAAAAAAGACAAACAAGCACTAGCCAGTTTTGGAACTGAGTTCCAGCCCAGCTCTTCCATAGACAGCTTCATGAACCTATTATCTAACCTTTTCAGCCTTTACCAACCTCATGTGTGAAGAAGGGATTGGAGCTAGAGAATTTCCCAAGTCCTCTCTAGGTAGAAAAGTCCAGAATTCTATTTTTTAAAGTAATTATGTAAGTAATCTTTGGAACACAGAGATGAGTTGTTTTTTTTTTTTTTTTAATATTTTTTTAGTTAGACATAAACACGACATCATTATTTTATTTATTTTTTTATGTGGTGCTGAGGATCAAACCCAGTGCCTCACATGTGCAAGGCAAGTGCTCTCCCACTGAGTCACAACCCTAGCCCCAGAGATGAGTTTTTACTTTCACTTTTCGTAGTTCATTTTTCTCCACAAGTCAAATAACTTACACCATCATATGTCTACTTTCAGCCCCACTTTAGGCCTAACATCACCCCAAAAACAGCTGCTTGGGAGAATTTTTAATGAGTTTGCTTACCACAGAGTTTGAGTGCTTTCATGTATTAAGCATCCACATATTAAACATCATATAAATGGAAATATTAACAGAAAGGCAAGAGAATATAGACAATAGATCTCACCCTTTCCCAGAGGAAACAGGATATTTTCAAAACAAATTCTGTTGTCAGATGGTTCTTTATATTTCACCTGGGGTTCGCAAGTCAACTTGTTAAAAGTGTGTTTGGTCATATGGAAATTTCATGAGACTCAGCCTGTCATGGAATGGCAAATGGTGGCATGCCCCCATGCAAAGACCTAGTTCCCATCAGCTATGGAGGACTGAAATATGGACCTGGAAGATGTTCATGTTGGTTATCAGGTCCTTCCCACCTTCGGGGAAGTGAATGGAAAGTCCTCCAGATTCATGTTCACAGTCACAGGGGACCATATAGGGATATCCTCTGGCTAATTTTGGTATATTGTGTACTTTTCAATAGAGTAATAATGCATGAAGGAGGTGGGAAGATAGCTTAATGGTAGAGCTCTTGCCTCACATTCATAAGGCCTTGGGTTCAATCCCCAGTACTGGGGGAAAAATGGGGACATGAGAGGAAGTAAAAGTTATACCTTTGTGAAGGAGAAGGAATTTTGGATACTTTAGATTAAATTTAAACAGAATAAATGAGTCTTCAAGAGGGGGATTTGGATACATATTCATCTTCCTAACGTTTTCCTTTGGAACCACCACCTTGGTTTTAGTTTGTTTGTTTGGTTTGGGTTTTTTTGCAGTATGGGGAATTGAATCCAAGGCCACCTAACCACTGAATCACATCCCCAGCTCCCCACCCCCCTTTTTTTTGGTACCAGGGATCGAACCTAGGGGCCCTTAACCACTGAGCCACATCCCCAGCCCTTTGTTATTATTTTATTTAGACAGGGTCTCACTGAGTTGCTGAGTGCCTTGCTAATCTGCTGAGACTGGCTTTGAACTTGAAATCCTCCTGCCTCAGCCTCCCAAATTACTGGGATTACAGGTGTGTACCACTATGCTGGGCCCCAGCCCTTCTTATTTTTTTTTTTTTTTTTTTTTTAAATTTTGAGACAGAGTCTTGCTAAGTTGTTTAGGGCCTTGCTAAATTGCTGGGGCTATGGACTTGCAATCCTCCTGCCTCAGCCTCCAGAGCCACTGGGATTACAGGTATGTATCACCACGTCCAGCTCTACCCTGGCTTTTGGTTGGTTGGTTATTACAGGTTGCCTTATGGGAAAGGTGTCCTGAGGAAGACACTGGGGAAAACTAGAGTAGTTTGATCTTCTTTTGTTCTGTTACCTATACTGCACTAAAGATTGTTAAGCATTACCTAGTAATGGTGACACATGCCTGTAATCCCAGCTACTAAGGAGGCTGAGGCAGAAGGATCACAGGTTTGAAACCAGGCTGAGCATCTTAGTGAGACCCTGTCTCAAAAGAAAAAAAGGCTGAGGTTATAGCTCAGTGACAGAGTACATGCAGAGTATGAGTTCCTGGATTCAATACCCAGCACCAGGGGTAAAAAAGAAGTTGTCTAGCATTTTCTCGGATGTTCCATAATAGCTACCATCTTCATCACAAAGATGGTGGCAGTGTTTGGAATGTAGCTCAGTGGTAGACTGCTTGCCTAGAATGTACAAGGCCCTACGTTCAATACCCAGCTTAACAAAAAAAAAAAAAAAAAACTGTTGTTAATATACCAAGTGAGTTGACAGTCCTCAGATACCTTAACCTGTATGATTGTACTGCTGCTGTTCTAGGCCTTTTCTGGAAAGAGACGATAGTTATAACCAGATCAGACCCTACTCAGGGCCATCTGTTTTAATCTTGCTCTTGCCTCTCATCATTAAGCAAGATATTTAACTGCTTTAAACCTCAGCTTCTTTATCCATAAAATGGTGTTACTACTTCACAGGACTGTTGAAGGATTAAGTGAGATAGTACATTTGCTTCACAGTAACCCTGAATTAATGGTCCCCAGATGTAACTTCACATTTCTGCCAAGGATTTATATATTTGTCATTAGATTGATTTAGCAGCACAGAGTTTAACTTAGGACACCTGACTGCCAATGTACTGAGTCATTAGTGATACTATTTTCTTCATAGCAGAAAAAGGATTTGATGTCATTTTAATGCAACTATTGCATTTGTTGGGGTAGATAGAGGAATAATATAAAAACTTCCCAGTCTGTTTATGTTATTTCCCCCACCTCAAAAATTTAGAGGGTTTTTTTGGTTTTGGTCTGGTTTTGCTGAGGATTGAACTTAGGGCCTATACCCCCAGTCAAGGGTTTAAAG